CCCCCACAACCCCTCCCCTCCCCCGCTGCAGGCAGGAGCTCCCCTTCCCACTTACTCAGCTGTCCAGTCACATGGCTCTGTGCTTCCACATCATGGACATGGAGGCACAGAGGCTGCTGTGGTTAAATTATGCAAAATTATGTAATTATGCACAGACATACCTTTTATGTGAAAAATTGCACAGGCACATAATTGCATCATTCCTCAGGGTGTATCTTTATGCACCAGCTCCCTGCCCAGCCACCTGGTGTCTCCTCCCAGGCCAGGGGCTTAAGCCATGCCTCACCCCCATTCACCCATCATCTGGAGGGAAGGTGCACTGCAGCCCCTTTGAGATATTCTAGATCTGCCCATGCTTCCCTTGCCCTTGAGGGTCACACAGAATAGGCAAGCCCAAAAATGCAGTGGCTTGCAAGGTTAAGTGGTTTGCCCAAGGCAGCACAGTGAGCTTATCTTAGGGACAGAATTTGAATGGAATTTGTTACTTTTGAGCCTCGTCAAATACATGATGCAGACTCTCAGTGCCTAGAAATGACGTCCCTATCAACACAGCATAGAGGTTAAATTGTGGTTTTTGTTCCTTTCACAGTACAAAAATGTCAAAAGTTCTTAAGAGGAAAATAAAAGCCCACATCCTTTTCATTTTCTTTGTCTCTGTATATAAAAGACACATCATAGGGCAGAACATACAGCAGCAATCATGGGTTTCCTCCTCACCTTGTCTGTTTCTGCTGCCTTTATTTTGCTGACAATTCCTGGAGGTAAGTACTTTTTTATCCTTTGATTATAATTGATGCCATGTGCAGAGTCATTATACAGTTAGACATACCAGTATATTAAAACAATGAAGCTAACAGTTACTAGAAGAGAGAGAGAACATTTTTATTTTCCATTGATTGCACATATTTGACTGCATCCAATATTGTTCATGAAAGGACAGTGTTAAGTAAATGTGTAGAGAGAGGGGGTCAATTATGGAATCTAGAAGAGATATTAATGTTACTTGACTCTCTATCTCTCTCTCAAAAGATATCCATCTCTGTAGGTGTCAGAAACAGCCATCTATGGCATCTCTGCT